CTTCTGTATGAAGGCCTGTGATCATGTTATCAATATCGGACACCTTGTGACCTCCTCCTGTATGAGGGTCTGTGACCTTGTCATCAGTATCTGACACCTTTTGATCTCCCCTGTATGAGGGCCTGTGACCTTGTTATCAGTATCTGACACCTTGTGACCTCCCCCTGTATGAGGGGCTGTGACCTTGTTATCAGTATCTGACACCTTGTGACCTCCTCCTGGAGCCCTTGACCTTGTTATCATTATTTGATATCTGGTGACTTACTTCTGTATGAAGGCCTGTGACCATGTTATCAATATCTGACACCTTGTGACCTCCTCCTGTATGAGGGTCTGTGACCTTGTTATCAGTATCTGACACCTTGTGACCTCCTCCTGTATAAGGGCCTGTGACCATGTTATCAGTATCTGACACCTTGTGACCTCCTGTATTACGGCCTGTGACCTTGTTATTAGTATCTGACACCTTGTGACCTCCTCCTGTATGAAGGCCTGTGACCATGCTATCAGTATCTGACACCTTGTGACCTCCTCCTGTATTAGGGCCTTTGACCTTGTTATCATTATTTGATATCCAGTGACTTACTTCTGTATGAAGGCCTGTGATCATGTTATCAATATCTGACACCTTGTGACCTCCTCCTGTATGATGGCCTGTGACCTTGTTATCATTATCTTTAGGGCCTTTGACCTTGTTATCATTATTTGATATCCAATTTGATATCTAGTGACTTACTTCTGTATGAAGGCCTGTGATCATGTTATCAATATCTGACACCTTGTGACCTCCTCCTGTATTATGGCCTTTGACCTTGTTATCAGTATCTGACACCATGTGACCTCCTCCTGTATGCAGGCGTGTGACCATGTTATCAGTATCTGACACCTTGTGCCCTCCGCCTGTATTAGGGCCTGTGATCATGTTATCAGTATCTGACACCTTGCGACCTCCTCCTGTATAAGTGCCTCTGACCTTGTTATCAGTATCTGACACCTTGTGACCTCCGCCTGTATTAGGGCCTGTGATCATGTTATCAGTATCTGACACCTTGTGACGTCCTCCTGTATGAGGGCCTGTGACCATGTTATTTATCAATATCTGACACCTTGTGACCTCCTCCTGTATAAGTGCCTGGGACCATGTTATCAGTATCTGACACCTTGTGACCTCCCCTGTATGAGGGCCTGTGACCTTGTTATCAGTATCTGACACCATGTGACCTCCTCCTGTATGAAGGCCTGTGACCATGTTATCAGTATCCGACACCTTGTGACCTCCTCCTGTATAAGGGCGTGTGACCATGTTATCAGTATCTGACACCTTGTGACCTCCCCTGTATGAGGGCCTGTGACCATGTTATCAGTATCTGACACCTTGTGACTTCCTCCTGTATGATGGCCTGTGACCATGTTATCAATATCTGACACCTTGTGACCTCCTCCTGTATTAGGGCCTTTGACCTTGTCATCAGTATCTGACACCTTTTGACCTCCCCTGTATGAGGGCCTTTGACCTTGTTATCATTATTTGATATCCAGTGACTTAGTTCTGTATGAAGGCCTGTGACCATGTTATCAATATCTGAGACCTTGTGACCTCCTCCTGTATGAGGGTCTGTGACCATGTTATCAGTATCTAACACCTTGTGACCTCCTCCTGTATTAGGGCCTGTGACCATGTTATCAGTATCAGACACCTTGTGACCTCCTCCTGTATGATGGCCTGTGACCTTGTTATCAGTATCAGACACCTTGTGACCTCCTGTATTAGGGCCTGTGACCTTGTTATCAGTATCAGACACCTTGTGACCTCCTCCTGTATGATGGCCTGTGACCTTGTTATCAGTATCTGACACCTTGTTACTTACTTCTGTATGAAGGCCTGTGATCATGTTATCAGTATCTGACACCTTGTGACCTCCTCCTGTATGAGGGCCTGTGACCTTGTCATCAGTATGTGACACCTTGTGACCTCCCCTGTATGATGGCCTGTGACCTTGTTATCAGTATCTGACACCATGTGGCCTCCTCCTGTATGAAGGCCTGTGACCATGTTATCAGTATCTCACACCTTGTGACTTCCTCCTTTATGATGGCCTGTGACCATGTTAGCAGTATCTGACACCATGTGACCTCCTGTATTAGGGCCTGTGATCATGTTACTTGTGACCTCCTCCTGTATGAGGGCCTGTGCCCTTGTCATCAGTATGTGACACCTTGTGTCCTCCCCTGTATGATGGCCTGTGACCTTGTTGTCAGTATCTGACACCATGTGACCTCCTCCTGTATGAGGGCCTTTGACCATGTTATCAGTATCAGACACCTTGTGACCTTCTGTATGAAGGCCTGTGACCTTGTTATCAGTATCTGACACCATGTGACCTCCTGTATTAGGGCCTGTGATCATGTTAGCAGTATCTGACACCTTGTAACTTCCTCCTGTATGATGGCCTATGACCATGTTATCGGTATCAGACACCTTGTGACCTCCTGTATGATGGCCTGTGACCTGGGTATCAGTATCTGACACCTTGTGACTTGTTATCACTATTTGATATCTAGTGACTTACTTCTGTATGAAGGCCTGTGTTCATGTTATCAGTATCTGACACCTTTTGTCCTTCTCCTGTATTAGGGCCTGTGATCATGTTAGCAGTATCTGACCCCTTGTGACCTCCGCCTGTATTAGGGCCAGTGACCCTTTTATCAGTATCTGACACCTTGTGACATCCTCCTGTATAAGGGCCTGTGACCTTGTTATCAGTATCAGACCCCTTTTGTCCTCCCCGGTATGATGGCCTGTGACCTTGTTATACCTTGTGACCTCCCCTGTATGATGGCCTGTGAACTTGTTATCAGTATCTGACACCATGTGACCTCCTCCTGTATGAGGGCCTTTGACCATGTTATCAGTATCAGACACCTTGTGACCTCCCGTATGATGGCCTGTGACCTTGTTATACCTTGTGACCTCCCCTGTATGATGGCCTGCGACCTTGTTATCAGTATCTGACACCATGTGACCTCCTCCTGTATGAAGGCCTGTGACCATGTTATCAGTATCTAACACCTTGTGACCTCGTCCTGTAGAAGGGCCTGTGACCATGTTATCAGTATCTGACCCCTTGTGACCTCCGCCTGTATTAGGGTCTGTGATCATGTTATCAGTATCTGACTCCTTGTGACTTCCTCCTGTATTAGGGCCTTATCTGACACCTTGTGACCTCCTGTATGACGGCCTGTGACCTTGTTATCAGTATCAGAAACCTTTTGACCTCCCCGGTATGATGGACTGTGACCTTGGTATCAGTATCAGACACCTTGTGACCTCCTCCTGTATACGGGCCTGTGACCATGTTATCAGTATCTAACTCCTTGTGACTTCCCCATGTATGATGGCCTGTGACCATGTTATCGGTATCTGACACCTTGTGACCTCCTGTATTAGGGCCTGTGATCATGTTATCAGATGATATCCAGTGACTTAGTTCTGTGTGAAGACCTGTGACCATGTTATCAATATCTGACACCTTGTGACCTCCTCCATGTTATCAGTATCAGACACCTTGTGACCTTCTGTATGAAGGCCTGTGCCCTTGTTATCAGTATCAGACACCTTGTGACCTCCTGTATGAAGGCCTGTGACCTTGTTATCAGTATCAGAAACCTTTTGACCTCCCCGGTATGATGGACTGTGACCTTGGTATCAGTATCAGACACCTTGTGACCTTCTGTATGAAGGCCTGTGCCCTTGTTATCAGTATCAGACACCTTGTGACCTTCTGTATGAAGGCCTGTGCCCTTGTTATCAGTATCTGACACCATGTGACCTCCTCCTGTATGAGGGCCTTTGACCATGTTATCAGTATCTGACACCGTGTGACCTCCTCCTGTATAAGGGCCTTTCTGTATGAAGGCCTGTGATCATGTTATCAGTATCTGACTCCTTGTGACTTCCTCCTGTATTAGGGCCTGTGATCATGTTAGTGTCATCAGTATCTGACACCTTTTGACCTCCTCCTGTATAAGGGCCTGGGACCATGTTATCAGTATCTGACACCATGTGACCTCCTGTATTAGGGCCTGTGATCATGTTACGGCCTGTGACCTTGTTCTTAGTATCTGACACCTTGTGACCTCCTACTGTATAAGGGCCTGTGACCATGTTATCAGTATCTCACACCTTGTGACTTCCTCCTTTATGATGGCCTGTGACCATGTTAGCAGTATCTGACACCTTGTGACCTCCTGTATGATGGCCTGTGACCTTGTTATCAGTATCAGACACCTTGTGACCTTCTGTATGAAGGCCTGTGACCTTGTTATCAGTATCAGACACCTTTTGACCTCCCCGGTATGAAGGCCTTTGACCTTGTTATCAGTATCAGACACCTTGTGACCTCCTCCTGTATGATGGCCTGTGACCATGTTATCGGTATCAGACACCTTGTGACCTCCTGTATGATGGCCTGTGACCTTGTTATCAGTATCAGGCACCTTTTGACCTCCCCGGTATGATGGCCTGTGACCTTGTTATCAGTATCTGACACCTTGTGACCTCCTCCTGTATGATGGCCTGTGACCATGTTATCAATATCTGACACCTTGTGACCTCCTGTATGATGGCCTGTGACCTTGTTATCAGTATCAGACACCTTGTGACCTCCTGTATTAGGGCATGTGATCCTGTTATCAGTATTTGATATCTGGTGACTTACTTCTGTATCCGTAGCCATTGTTATATCAGCATCAGTATATGACTTGGTGATAACAAAAAAGGGGATTTTTAAATATGACACTTTACATACAAGCAACATTTCTATTGTGTCTTACTTTTCCGTGAAGTGTATATTTACAACATGGATTGATAGACTTGCCAACCTTCTGTGAAAGAAACAAGTGTATCACCCCTCCATCATTTGATTAATGTTCACACACTTGACCAGAATTCTGTTTTTCTGATGATTGTCATAATGCTTATTGATATTTGTTTTCCACAGATTAGATATGGAATTCAGGATGTTTCTCCACTTTCCGGTGACCATCACTATTCTACCCGGGTAAGGAACACCAGAAAAGGGAACACCTGGGTTAGGTACACCTGAGATTCCAGGTGTGAATTGTCCACAGGTGTAACAACATGGAGAAGATGACCATGGATAACCTGGTAAATGTGGACTCCCTGTCTGAGGAGGAGCGTGCCGTCATTCTTAAAGTTCTCAAACGTGATGAGAGCCTCCGTAGAACAGAGAACAAGAAAATTGGGTAGGTTTGTTTGGCATATCTGAGGTGGTATTAGTTGTCTCCCTTGGGTAGATGTCGTGTGAGGGATAGGTGGGGCTTTTGCACCACTTTAACAAGCTACAAAATGTACAATCTTCATATCTGAACCTGTAATGTCATTACGGTTAATGATGAGACTTATTAAATATCCATGTCAACACTTTGATATGATAGGGGATATGTTAAATGTGTAAGACTAACACAAATGTTTCAGGTAGCTCTAATATTTTACGTACAGAAAGAGGATGAAGCATTTTAAGAAGGAGAGTTTTAGCTACAATCAAATCAAAATATATATTCTACAAATTTGATAAAGATGTTGCAAATGAAAATGTGATTTTGCAAACAGGAACTACTTTTTTAAAAATTCTTGTTATTAATACAAAAAGAAAATGGTAGTTTGGTTTAATAGGAATTTTACATACACTTATTAAATGCTTGTGAAATGTACTGCACCCAGAAGTTAATTACTTTGACATTTGTACGGTGCATAATCCTAGACCATATTACCACCAATTAGGCCAATCATCTGGGGGTTTGATCTATACTGAATCAGTGGTTACCAATAGTAACCAACTACACAGAATTACCTCCCTTCCTACCCTGTACCACAATATGACCTCATCTCAAATGTCTCTGACAACATGGATGGGTGTAGCAAAAGTACACAGACCAGAGATAAAGGTCAGCAGTAAAGGGAGGGTGGGACTCCAAACCACCCACAACAAGGGAGGCACGAGGATTATACGTGACTGTTGGGGAGGCGTGAGATGGGAACTGTTATGGTGGTTTATTTGACCAAATTTGACCCTTTGTCAGACCATGATGACGTCCAAGACTAATCTGTTATTCATTACTGGCAAAAACTGCATTATCATTCAGTGCATGTGATGGTAATATAATAAAAATAGTTCTACAAAGATTTATGTATTTTACATATGTGAATACCTTTTAAGAGAGTCAATCACAAATCCAAATATGAATTATACATATAAAGGAAGAATTACTCAAGGCATATTAAAACAAGTGTTATATTTAGATATGAGTATTCTTCTCATGATTTCAAATCCTCACAAATATGAGGTTTCCAGCACAATCAGAAAAAAGATCAACATTTGAAAATTGATTTACACCTGTGTTTGTATGTTTATGCTTTGTGTATTAAATTATAGTTACAATGATCACTGGATGACCGCTTATGGTGGTCAAATAAATCAGCGTTAAATAACACCTACATATAGGGCAGCCTCTCTCACAGTTATGTCTCTATTTGTTACAGGCAATTACGGTTGGAGATCCAATCAATACGAATGAAAAGTGTCCTTAGGGATGGGGATGACCTGTCCAAAATATGTGCCCGTTGTCATAGCGAACTAGGCTTCCTGTTCAACAGAGGCGAGATTTGTCCAACATGTCATTTCAAAGTGTGCAAGCTTTGTCAGGAGACATTACTTAATGGCAAATGGTTGTGTTCCTTGTGTTACAAACAGAGGTAAGTAAGACAGGAGGTCCTTATCAGCTAACACTTAACAAAATGTCTGTGAGCTCCTTCATCCGTCTCTCCTTCTGTCTATCATCCACTTTTTTTTTTAAATCACATCTTCTAAACAAAATTAAGGCCTTGGGTCATGATATTTTTCATGTTTCCTGCTATTAATTTTTATTCAAATTAATGGTCTTGACCCACTTTCAAATTCACAGTGGTCAAATGTAAAAAAATGTTTTTATCTTGAAACAACCTCTCCTAACGATGAGTAATAGTGTGATTTAGATAGTGATATTTAGCCCATAACTTGCTGAAGTAGAGGGCTAACAGGCTTGTCCAAATAATTCCCTTTATTCACTCTTAAGGGCTTATAGGCCAATTGTGTTAACATCTTCCAAAGAGCTTGTTCCAATGAGCTAGTAGGCTTTGAGTAGTAATATTTCATCTGTACAATAGATTACTGTGATGAAGAACTAAAGAACATTGTTCAATAAATAACCTTGACTCACATTTCTGTTTCCAGGCGAGCAATACAGGCCCTATAAGCCTGTTCTTTATATGCTGTATAACATCAAGGGTTCTCCCCAGAAAATTGTGTGTTTTACCTTTTTTATGGAAACAGCATCATGTATGATATAGCACAGGGAGTTTTATTTTCATATAAATTATAGGAGAGAAGGATAAAGAAATAGTAAGAAATATAGGAGAGTGGTATATTATGCCGCTAAAACAGAAGAGAACATTTTGTAACGTCATATATCAAGTTAACTTGATTCGTAAACCATATAGGTTTGACATCTTCAACAATCAAATTTTTGAAGTCGACTATTAAGATTTTGGCCTTTGGAACATTAATTTGTTTCACCTCTGAAGAAACGTGTGTACTAAAAACCATTGATCCTAGTAGACAAACAATCTTTTCCCCAAGTTATGTTGGAAATTTGACATTTTTCTTTCATCATCATATGAGGAATGTTCAGACTGAAATGGAAACAATAAGTGTTATTGTAGGTCCAAGAAGAAACTTTATAAAAATGAATACTGAAAATTATATAGGTGAAAAAATCTTGTAGACAGCTGACAATGATGTGTTTGTTATAGGCTAGTGATTCATGTATAATGGTTCTGTGAACTGTTCCAGTACTAAACAGCTGATGGTATTTCCTGTGGATGATATATTAAATAGACAACTCGGTGTAGGTAAATCAATCATGTGCGGAAATACCACAAAAAAATTACCCAAACACATACTAAATTAAGCATACCTTTTTTTAAGTATTTACAAAATGCCATATTAAATGAGGAGTTCACAAAATATTTTATGCTCCATGAATTTTCAGCAAATCCACCCTAGCCTTAAATTCAACAACAAATACATCTATGTATAGTAATCATTTGCATTGCTTTAAATTCTTTTTTGTCATTTATGAATCATTTATTCAAATAAAATAAAATAAAACCCAATGGAAATAATCCATGTGCTTCTAGAATATCTGTTTGAGAGGTTATTATCTTGTGCATTCATGGCAATACAGCATGCAGTTTAATGCAGTTCAAGGGAGCTAACCTTTCCTGATAAAGACAATACAAATTTAATATATACAGTGTAGTGGTTAATTACCAAAGCCAATGCTTTTTCAAAAAGAAAAAACGCTTTTTTAATTTACAACTGAATGAATTCACAAATTAGTTATTCAAATACACACATGATGCAGTGCAAATTACTAATGATGAAAATAGTAGTTATACATATTCTGTTACCATGTTAACCTCTTCGTGTATTTGATTAAGTTGATTAAAGGGGAATAACTCATGTTTACTTGTAACCATATCAGCTCTGTCTAGCAATACAAGGTACTACTCAATTTTATAGTCTAAAAATCCAGTTTCAGTTACAATTCTTGGAAAGTCATTATAGTAATAGTTCATTCACTTTTAATTGGATTAAATTTTGAAAAATAAAATCAATGATCAATTGTCAGAATCCAAGCAGATTATTATTGCTGAAATACATTCTGTTACTAAGACTGTGCTTGGTTACTATATATAAGTTATTGGGATTGTAAATTTTCAAGATTTTATCAGTCTTCAGCAATAATTTGGATAGTAGATTCTCCAGGTTATCTTCAGCAAGGGTCTGAGAATCCTCTAGACTATACAAGTCCTTAGTCTTTTCTGGATAGAGAATTTTCCATATTGTCCAAGTCCTCATAGTAGACATTACAAAACAGAAATTTCAACGAAGTATTGCTTGTGTACAGACTGGTTAACGAAGTATTGTTTGTGTACAGACAGGTTAATGAAGTATTGCTTGTGTACAGACAGGTTAAGGAAGTATTGCTTGTGTACAGACTGGTTAACGAAGTATTGCCTGTGTACAGACAGGTTAACGAAGTATTGCTTGTATACAGACAGGTTAACAAAGTATTGCTTGTGTACACACAGGTTAACAAAGTATTGCTTGTATACAGACAGGTTAACGAAGTATTGCCTGTTTACACACAGGTTAACGAAGTATTGCTTGTGTACAGACAGGTTAACAAAGTATTGCTTGTGTACAGACAGGTTAATGAAGCATTGCCTGTGTACAGACAGGTTAATGAAGTATTGCCTGTTTACAGACAGGTTAACGAAGTAATTATTGCCTATTTACAGACATGTTAATGAAGTATTGCCTGTTTACAGACAGGTTAATGAAGTATTGCCTGTTTACAGACAGGTTAATGAAGTATTGCTTGTGTACAGACAGGCTAATGAAGTATTGCTTGTGTACAGACAGGTTAATGAAGTATTGCTTGTGTACAGACGGGTTAATGAAGTATTGCTTGTGTACAGACAGGTTAATGAAGTATTGCTTGTGTACAGACAGGTTAACGAAGTATTGCCTGTTTACAGACAGGTTAACGAAGTATTGCTTGTGTACAGACAGGTTAATGAAGTATTGCTTGTGTATAGACAGGTTAACAAAGTATTGCTTGTGTATAGACAGGTTAATGAAGTATTGCTTGTGTACAGACAGGTTAATGAAGTATTGCCTGTGTACAGACAGGTTAATGAAGTATTGCTTGTGTACAGACAAGTTAATGAAGTATTGCTTGTGTACAGACAGGTTAACGAAGTATTGCCTGTTTACAGACAGGTTAACGAAGTAATTATTGCCTGTTTACAGACAGGTTAATGAAGTATTGTCTGTGTACAGACAGGTAAAAGAAGTATTGCCTGTTTACAGACAGGTTAATGAAGTATTGCCTGTGTACAGACAGGTTAATGAAGTATTGCTTGTGTACAGACAGGGTAACGAAGTATTGCCTGTTTACAGACAGGTTAACGAAGTAATTATTGCCTGTTTACAGACAGGTTAATGAAGTATTGCCTGTGTACAGACAGGTAAAAGAAGTATTGCCTGTTTACAGACAGGTAACAGTTTTTGTTGTTTGGTCAGCAGGTAGATAAAACTTTTTTATTCGTCTGCAGGCAGCTGAAGTGGCTCCAGCAGGGAGGGATGGACAGTAGCTCAGGGCGGGGACTGAAACGCTGGCCATCTGGAGCAGACCTGGTCAAGGCATCCATTCGCAAAACACTGGTCATTGCAGATCCAGGTAAGTCTCTTTGTCATTAACATACAATTTTTTCCTCAGACGAAATATCCCTGGTGACCACCCCTGGTCAGTCATGAGGTCTAGAGTAATTGGCAGCGTTCGAACCTGTTGTGAATGTTTGTGAGGTTCAACTTCCAGTTCAAGGCAACTTATGTCAAGACCATATCATAGTGGCTTAAATTGTGTGGATATTGTTTTTATGAGGCAGCCCATGAGAACAGAATTGATTGTCCACGCTAAATTCAGTATAATGTATTTGTATGTGAAGTAAAATAAAAATTGTTTGGATTTGGTCTATTTGCTTTGAAATCCTACACTTCCTAAACTGTTGCACAAATGTTCACCTTATTTGGTTGGAAATATCAATAGAACAAAGTAATACTGTTTTTATAACTGAAGTAGGTGTGACCCCTGGTGCTTTAGGGTGGGGCTTCAGTAGAGGAATTTTGGATGTATAACTGTACTAACTAAGAATGAGCTAAATCTCCATTAGAAAAAAATCCACACATAAAAGGCATGGCCAGCCCCTTCCTGCCCCTGGGGACTTTCTTCCTAGGTCATAACATCGAAACAGTTTATATATTTACTCTATAACCAAAAAAAAAGAAAAGACATTCATGCTTCCTTGATTTGCTTCTGGCGCCACCCATTACTCTATGAATTAGTCCCTGACTCATTACATAGAAACAGTTGAGATTGTATGTTAACATATAAATGCTATGGGCTTCTTGTTGTTTATTTCTACATCATTAGCCTTTCAGTGTAGCATATTTAAACTTCATTATTATTCTTAATAGCCTCCTCAATGTCACAAATTACATTTGTATCCCCGATGTCTTTTTTAAAAATCTAGCTTTGTTATAGATTTTTGTTTAATTGGAAGCTAATCACTTAAGGGAGTTGAAAAAAGTTCCATTAATTATAATTCAATCGTAAAGCTTGCTGTGGAAAATTACATAGATTTATCAAGGAATTATTTTGTTGCAGGAAATGTTAGCGAAGGATTGATTAGAATATTGAATTTCCTTTATGTCATGTCATCTGTAGAAAATGAAATATTTATTATCCATAAGTCATACATGATTTATAGCCTTGCTCACGATCAACATCATGAAATATTTGGTAGTGCGCCTGACACATCAACATGAAATAGAAATTCAGAATAGGTTTATTTTGTAGTTCACTTATATTGAACTCATTGAATAGCTTTCAGTGTTAATGAATTTGCTATTAAATCCTGTTTAATATATAAATGAAGTACAAGAGAATACTACCCAAATAATGTTGTTTGTAATTGGGATCTAATTAGATTTTTAAAGATAGTTAACAGTTAACTGAAAATCTAACATTTAAGGAATATCAACTAACAATAATTACATGGTTGACAAACAATCCATACGCTCCATTGTTATTCTGTGTTGATGGTCACTGGAGAGTAATTGTGGGGTGGGATCACCGTTTTTCATTATGACATTATACACATGGGAATTTTCTTTAATCGACTGTATGAACGTAGGTAATAAATGTGTCGACTGGGATACTTGGTTGGACTATAAATAGGTCCCTGGACACGACCCTGACAAGGTCATAAGCATTAACAATGATTGGACACGTTAACGACACTTTAACTGATTAGGTCTCACTGTAAAGGAGGCGGATCTACAGCCTCAATTTGAAATCTCCACAACACTGATATTCGAGGTTTGGTAATCACTTATTACCCTATATTTCCATTTGATTAAAAGTAAGAATTGAATGTACCCCAGTAAATGATTTTGAAAGTACATGCAGGCATGTTTTGGTGTTTTTTTGTCCACTCTCTGGCTTAAAAAGATAATCATTTTGCCAGATTTTGTAGCCTTACCTTCATGACAGGACATGTTTGTCCAAAGGTATTAAATTGAGAGATCCACTTCTGGTCTAAAAGTTTAAAAGTTTCAACAGGTTTATTATGTCAACAGACCTATTCATACCACTGTGATTATCCAGCTACTGCTACTTATCCTTTGTCCCAGCTTGGGTTTGATGGAACAACTTTTTCTGTTTCTATTCGTCAGTATCCTGGTAATCCAACTGTCATCAAGTGACATCGACTGGTATCGTTGGTGCCTGGATCATTATGATACAGTGTAATAAGTATACAGCCTATTGTAGAAAGAGGGTTATTACCTCCCTTGTATTACAGTGACCTCTGAAGTCTTCAAGGACACCTCAGATGCAGAGTACTGTTATTGTAAAGAATTTTCCATTAGTAAAAGTGTAACATGGTAAAAAAAAACATAAAAATAATATGAAATCTGACAGATGTCACGTAGATAAATATTACAGGTGTCAACGTATTGCAAAGGGAGATAAATATAACAGGTGTCAACGTATTGCAAAGGGAGATAAATATTACAGGTGTCAATATAAGAAATATGATTCATCAATTTTGTATGAAAAATAAATGATAAGTTTGTTTTGAAAACAAATAGGAATTAAAAACTTATTTTGTCTGTTTGACTGTTGTCTCGACTCTAAACTGCTACAAACAACTCACTAAGCCAAATAGCTCTGTAATACTGCAAGCAGTCAGGGGACGGGTAACAATATATGTTTACCCATTCCTCTCCTAGGCTGTCAATATACTACAAAGGGAAATAAATCTTATAGGTGTCAATATACTAAAAAGGGAAATAAATCTTATAGTTGTCAATATACTACAAAGGTAAATAAATCTTATAGGTGTAAATATACTACTAAGGGTGATACTTGACATAGGTGTCAATATACAACAAAGGGAAATAAATCTTATAGTTGTCAATATACTACAAAGGGAAATACAGCTTTTAGGTGTCAATATACTAAAAAGGGAAATAAATCTTATAGCTGTCAATATACTACAAAGGTAAATAAATCTTATAGGTGTCAATGTACTACAAAGGGAAATAAAGCTTATAGGTGTCAATATACTGCAAAGGGAAATAAATCTTATAGTTGTCAATATACTACAAAGGGCAATAAATCTTACAGGTGTCAATATACTACAAACGGAAATAAATCTTATAGGTGTCAATATACTACAAAGGGAAATAAATCTTATAGGTGTCATACACTACAAAGTGAGATATTAACATGCCATATCTTTCTTGTTGGAGAGTTGTTTCTCCATTAACTTTTATGAATTAGTCGGTTGGTTGTTTCTAAGACATCCTTGGCATGGCTACCCTCCTATGATGTTCATGGTGACATGATTGTGACAATTTAAAAAGGTCTGTTGTAATATTACAGCTGGCCTAATACAATAACATTCCCTCCATGTCTCAGAATCTCAGTATCCCAATCCATGTAGATAATCAAAACAATTGAATTAACTCTTTTTGGTGATTTTCATAATAGAAGAAATAAGGTGTTTTATAGTTAAATCGTTAGGTTATCGTTTTGTCATAATTTTCTTTGTACTGTCCTGGTGATAAGAGCTATTTTAGGCAATGGGAAACATTTTGTGACGGTATAATCACGACGAACCTACACAACTATCAAGGTGGCTACATCCTGATGAGTACTGTACAATGAGTGAAATATAGGTCACTGTCACCAAGATTTTCCACTTTACTGGTTTTATTTAGACTTTTGTTATAGCTCTGTTACTTTAATACTAGAAGTCAAACATCAGTGGATATATCTTAAGGAGTACTATATTAGGTCACTGTAACATAATTATTTTCCACTACACTGAAAGCTGGAGCAGGGCCATATGTATGTTTTCCAAACATTTTTTTTATCAAACTGTGATATCATTTAATGAATATCACATACAGAGTCTGAAAAAATTATGGATGGAAATTTGTTGCTGGAAAAATGAAAAATGAAATAGAAAAAAAGAAAAAATTCACATGCAGAATCATTGTGATTTGAATAAAGCACATCAAAACAAAAAAGCAATATTGACTCATATATTTTAGCTGTGTATTGTAAGATCCTACAAAGAGGCTTGTGTCTTATAGCCAATTTTAAAAAAAAGCATTTGAATACATATTGTCTAAATGGGATGGCTTTATACATGAAAACTCCATTAGTTTTGCTGGAAATATTCCTATATACAGAGAAAGCTATAGAGACTATGAATATTTTATTTCAAAACTATCATTTTCAAATGCACACAATGAGCTAGCCTGAAATAAACATGTTCTGGGCACTAACCAGATTATGTATTGTTTGATTTGTGATGGCCTGCAGTTGTATGTTAGATATATTGATCAACCAAAGTATGCCTCTGAGGTAAAATGTACAGTAACAGTGTAGGGTCCCTATGTCTATACTACACAACTACTATACACACTGTTTGCTTTTAGCTTGGTTTGATTCCGACCCGTTAAAGACCAGTGTTAACTCTCCATATACCCCAGCTTTCCGTGTTACAGAACAGTTTTAACTCTCCATATACCCCAGCTTTCCGTGTTTCAGAACAGAATTGCTGTCACGGCTGCAAACAAGTGCTATTAGTGCCATCCGCTAGGGATAAGATTCTGTGATATTGATTTCAGACAGCATAGATCACTTCCATGGTAAACGGCCAATCAGAAAACGGGTCTCATATAGCTTTAGGTAACCAATGTGTACTACAAGAGGAGTTTGCATGGTGGGGTACCAATGTTCCAAACACTCAGGTGATCGGGAGTGACACAATTAGTCATCTTTAATTAATAATTGTCGTTCCTTCTCAAAGAGTGGATGTCACGTTTCACTCAATTAGTATATGGCTGAATAATGTCAGTGTTGATAACTATACCACAGGATATTGCCATGGGACACTGCATCCCATGAACCACAAATGGAATACTGTCAGCTATCAAGATAAACAGAATTTGAAGTGTACAGTGTTCCCTTACCGTCCTGTTTTATCAACACCTCTAAGACAATGTTGGAGCGATTTCGAATGCTTATTTTAGAAGCCACCACAGCTTCTCAAGGTTTGTATGGAGCAATTGTTGACGTCTACAGGGAAATGTGGAGGTCTT